GTGGGCAAAGAGCGAGAGCCCGTAACGAGCTCCACCCAGGCAGAGAGGAGGAGAAAAGGCATAAAAAACAACAACAAAACCTGTAGCCAGCGTGAGCCAGCCAGAGAGACATGGGGACCATGAAACTATGAATTTGGACATCTCTATAGTGTACTTCACAGTTACTTCAGACAGTTAGTAGCTGTTAGGTAGATATTTGGTGTGACCTCATCTAAAGTGAGGAATGCTTTTGCCTTATAAAGCATTTATAAATGAATTAAAAGTAACTCAAGACTTGAATAAGTATCAGCTCATCTTCATAACAGAAAAATGAAGAGATAAAGAATAAACAAATATTTATTTGCAGATTCAAACATAATCCACTATAATCTGAGGTAATACATCTGAACCAGAGTTTTTAAGAGTGGTTTAAGTGACAAAGATACACTAAGCAGTTGAAGCGACGTAGCTAGAAGTAGCTTAACTTCAATATACTGAAGTTTATTCATTTAAAATAAAATATGAATAAAGTTATCAAAATCAGTAGTGAGTAACTGACAGAGCTTCACAAACAAGTCCAAATGTCATTAAAGTAGTTTCCATTACATTCTCATGACACAGATAATTCTCCTTGATGATGGAGAACCACCTCTTAACTTGATCACATCCTTACCCCGAGAAGAACGAGGCAGAGACCATCCACTACTTCTTTCATTTAAGCTGAGCTCAGACACCCTAACTATTCTGCTTAATTCAGGAGCACTTTGGAACTGAACCTGACGCTGACTTGACTAAAACTAACAAAACATGAACCAGAGGAACGTTGAACCTCAGGAATGAACTCTTAAACATCCCAGAGACATTTTCCTGCATTATCAGTTTAATAAGATGAACGCTTTGTTTATGGTTTTTACACCTGTTTGTGAAACTCTGTCAAATTTTCACTACTGATTTGTAATAACCTTATTCCTATTTTAGCTTAAATGAACAAGTTGTAGTATATTTAAGTTTCACTGCTGCGGCTCCAGCTCAGTGTAGCTTTCTCTCTTAAACACCTCTTACAAACTGATTCAGACTCTGGTCCTTTCTACATTTCAGTATTCTGCAAACCTCAGGTGGGTCATGTTTGCATCTGGCAATATATATTTATATAATTTGTATCTCTTTGTGCTTTGTCTGTGTCATTTTGTGTTGTGAAGACAGCTGAGACTTGTTTGAATCTTGAGGTACTTTCATTTTCATTTAAAAATAAGCCAAAAATAGTCCTCACTTTACATGAGGTCACACAAAATACTAACCTAACAACTACATATTTTTTTATAGATAATATTTATAAAACATCTATTAACACACTGAACAACAATGAGCTCATGTCATTAATCATTGTATATATATAAATGTGCCTCTGTTAATTATTTACTTGAACATGAACATGTTATATATGAGCTTATTAATCAAGAAAAAACATTTATATCTGTTTATAAATGATACACTGAGAAGGACTAATGCTTTATAAAGGATGAATTTAAATGAAAAGAAAACAGAAGTGTTGGTGTTTGGACCCAGTGGTTCCTGCGAGTCCTCCTCTGTTGATTTGGGACCCCTGGAAGTCTATTTTAAACCTGTTGTTATCGACCTTGGTTTTAAGTTGGACAGTGATTTTAAATTGGACAATCAAATCAGAGCAGTGGTAAAGTCCAGTTTTTATCATTTAAGGCAACTGGCAGGAGTAAAATCCTTTCTTTCGAGGCAGCACTTTGAAACGGTGATACATGCTTTTATTTCTTCCTGCCTGGACGACTGTAACTCACTCTATGTGGGGGTCAGTCAGTCGTTGCTCTCACTGTACAGCACTTTGTGTCAGCTGTGGTTGTTTTAAAGTGCTTTATAAATAAAGGTAATGATGATGAGGTGATGATAAGCACTTACTAGTAGGGATGGGGATTGATAAGATTTTCACGATTCCGATTCCA